GCCTTGTATAGTATACAGAAACAGACATATTACCCTGCTGCAAGGAAGTAATATCTTTGTGTAAAATGTAAGATCTAGATCCATCCACTCTGTCAAATCTCTCTTTTAAATCAGTCCAAACATCAAAAGCAGTAGTAGCAAATTCTATACCACTCAATAAACTCTTCGAAACTGAATTCATAAGCTATGATAATACAATGGCATTCACTCTTTCCCATTGTCCCCATAATTCCTCACTATAAACCTCTTTTCGAGAAGATCCATCAATTAGCCCTATTTTATTCCTCCTTAACAGAGCTAGCCTAATAGATCGATTCCACAGAGTATAGTTTTCAACACCTACTAGCTGAAACGAGATGATGCTAATGCAACTAACATCAGTAGGATTGAGAAACAGAGTATGATTATAGTCAATACCTTGTCCTGTTCCAGTGTTGCCATGTAAGGAACCAGTAGCTCCTTGGCCATTGTTGATGATTGGAGACTGATCCACATCTATTTGATCATTCACCATATTAGATCCTTGATAAATTGTTGTCGCGGAAGCAAAACCAGAGAAAAATCAATAATTATCCACCACAAATTTCAGCTCCAAGCTCAGATCTGTAATGAATTCTGATGATACAGATGAATCGATGAATCAGAAATTGATTCTTTGATCCTTTGCACCACTCGTCTTCAACAGTAAGCATTGTGAAGGTAAAGCTCTGATACCATGAAGGTAAAATGAAAGAGCTCAATCAGAGCAACAATGAGAGCTCCATGAGCATCTCAGATATTTTGTATTAAGAAGAAGAAGATTACATTGAGTGAGTCACAGTATTTATAACTCTCTTACTGTGACTTGTAACTAATCTTACTAACTAACTCTATGCTAGGTAGTTACAACTAATTATTATAAAATGACTGATCTACCCTTTCACTTTTAACAGCCTAACTAACATTAACTAACTTCTAACTGACAGTAGCTCATCTTCACATCACATTACTTTCTCTCAGATTTTTCCCATACCAGTATGGACCTGGTGTATCACCTTGACATATCCAACCAAAGAAAATATATTGTTGTCTTTGTGCTCTCATGGGTTGTCATTGCTGAAGTAACCTTATCCCCTATACAAGAACCAGGTTCTTGTACTTTTGTTGAGACAAACAAAATGCTAATAAGTGAAGTGCTAGAAGTACCTCCTCAGTCCTCAGCCTATGCAATCTCAACCTATTGTTCATCAGATGATGGGAAGTTCTATGACATTTTCGTCTGATTCAATGGCTTTGTTACAAAATTTTGCTGATAATCCCGTTGAAGTAGACATTTTTTCTGATTGATTATAGTTGATGTGATGTTTATTTAAAATGATATATATGTGAGAAGGGCTTCTCGTCGGGTCTGAGTTGGTCCGTTTCATTCGAGATACAACTGCATTGCGTTCGCGCTGAACAAATACACATGGACATAATTTAAAGTCTATTTTCAACCTTAGACTCCATAACTCGATTAATGAGATTTTGTTGGATTTCTTTGTAAAGCATAATTCTAACCTTCTTATTAACCGCGAATCTTATCATCAAATTAGTGGTTTTAATTGGGGGATTTCTTTGTAAAGCACAATTAGCACAATAAACTTGGTGTAAGCTAATTAAAACAATTAATATGACGTCTCAACTTTTCTTACTCTTGGGTAATAAAGAAAATTTTAACGTGTATCATTGAAATATTGAATAAGGTATATGATTTGAAGAAGAATATGATAAGTTTAAACTGCTGGAAGTTAAAAGTGAAGAACATAAATACATGACATAAAATATTGAACTTGTAAATTAAAAGTTCATAGAATTTGTACGGGTCTAAAGGTAGATGAAAGGTCTTTTCAATTAAACTTAATTGAGAATTAATTTTCTTATAAAAGAATAAAATGATCAATCTACTTTTAAAGGACATTTTAATAATTCAAATTTTGACCTAGACTGTTCTCCCTTATAATAATAATAATAATAATAATAATATATATATATATATATATATATATATATATATATATATATAGAATTATATATTATGATTAGGTATTTGACCAAATTAGGATCGTTCAAAGGCATTAAAAAAGGCAACGCCATAATTTGATGATTTTTGGACCCCAATTAAGGCAAGTTGAGATGCAGCGTGAGCATATTTCATATGTATTAGGCTCATCATCACATGAAATAGGATTCTATCATGATAATAACCACATCAATCCACATGTAACTACATCCCATCGAGCCAAAATCATATCACCTTACCCGAACAAGATCCCATCAGATAATGTAGGGATTGTTGTCTTTGGTAGTGATATTGCTATTAAAGAAGGAGATCTTGTCAAGTGAACGGGGCCATAATCACATCACTTAACCTGAAATACATCTCATCATGCCATAATCATGTAAACCATGAGAAAGTAGTTAAAATGACATTTATTTTTCAAAGGTTGTCCTTCCATTCGAGTTGCTGGCATTTACCTATTTAATGAGCTATTAAATCATCTATTGGGTTCTACAATTTTCTTCTGCCCATAATTTCCAATTACTAGCAAACAAGGTAGTCTTGAGAGACTTATCTAGTCCACAAATTGAGTTTTTTGTCAAAAACAACTTTTGACTATACCTAAAACTTAATGTACATCCTTCAACTAATTTATTGAATAAAAATCATCCTTAATGTATTCAAAACTTAGCAAGTTTCATCCTTCGTGAAACTTTTGTTAAAAACATTAACATACCCATCTATGTGCAAGTCAAATGACTCTTAACACCCCAAATATCAAGTTCCTCAAACTAGCCACAATTCAATTTCTTTGTTCTGCTAAAAAAAATTAAAGCTATTCCAAGTTAGCTTTTGTATGTGTCAATTTTGCTGAGTTTGTATGAACAATAAAAGAAAGGAAAAAAACAACAAAGCTAGGACGAGTCTTCTTCTGTGTAATGGTTGGACTGTGATTATATTTTATTTGGGTATTGATTTTGGGAAGGAAGAAAGGCTTGAAACTAACTAAAAATAGGGCGCAATGAAATTTGTTGATGTTCTGGTGATAAAAAATCTTTACCAACAATTTAAGAAAAAATTATTGGGTCTTGTGAAAATGGAGAGAGAGAACAATAAGAGCAGATTCATGTCGAAGAAAATACTTTAAAAAATAAAAAAATTCAAGCACAACAAATAAATGAAAGGTGTTTGAACCGAAAGAGTTACCACAAATAATTATGGAAAATAAATCATTATAGCAACAAAAGAATAGCCAATATTGAGCTTCATTGTACAAAGCAGCGTATATTACGATTTTTATTAAGCTGGAGAATCCTAAATTCATTCCTGGAAAATTTTGCCGGTAAAAAATTAATTCAGAAAAGCTTCAGCTTTGAGAAGAAGAACATTATACAACTACTGGACTCATTTTAGGATGCTTATAGTCATGTGACTTGCGCATGGGATTGAGTCTGTTAATGTTTTTTAACAGAAGTTTCCGGGAAGGATGAAACTTGCTAAGTTTTGAATACATTAAGGATGATTTTTGTTGAATATGATAGTTGAAGGATGTACATTAAGTTTTGGGTATAGATAAAAGATATTTTTGGCCAAAAACTCCTACTAATTCGACATATGGGATATGGGCCCCTACCATAAACCTTTCTTATACATGGAAATTTAGGCCTAAAAATATCAAATTTAGCTCACGAAAATATAAATTACGTTATTAATCCAAACTTGAATGAAGAGGGTTAGACTGGGCATACGTCAAGTCAGTATATCTAAAAGACTAGGATGATTTAGGATGTATGTATAGCCTTAGATTGATGCATGAAAACAAAAAAAACTAATTAGTTTTATTTTGTAATTAAAAATTTTTTATAAAAGAATAAAGCAACAAAAAGAAAAATCATATTGAGCAAGACAAATTGGGTCATAATCCATCGTTTTGCCCTAATTCAGCCACTCATTGACCCGAGCAAACGTCACTACGCATATTATGATTTATGATCATTAATAAATAAGTAAACGTCAAAGTCTTCCTCTTGAGGGCCCTTCATCAAATTTCAACTTTCTCATCAAGAACTAAAAACACAAGTCTTCCATTGACTTGAAGTCTCCCATTATTAACTTATTTATCACAGTTCGCTCACAAATGTCGAATTGTTCGTTTTGGGGTGTGTTTTTAGGGATGTCCCTTTTGGTCTATAGCGTCCAAAAAGTGTCTGTACTGGGGCCGACTCCACTACTATCCCCTTCTGTTTGTGACCATATCCGTAACAAAAGCTACCCTTTTTGCTTAGAATATGAATTAGCTTGTGAATGCAACCAAGCCGTTATACCTGTATTCTCCAAGAAGTTGTATGTTCAAGCCATTAATTATGATAATGAAACAATTCACTTGATAGATCCAACTTTACAAACATAAGATGATGTATGCTCTTTGAGACCCCAGCTTACCTTCCCCCAATAAAACAGAATCTTTGACACATATAATTATTTGAGTAGAAAAGGTATTCATCTTTTGTCCACAAGCAGAACGGACATAATAGTGAAATTAGCTTGTTATACATTTTAGAATAGAGGTTCCCCTAGACATTTGTGTTTCTTTTTTCTTTTCCTTCTATTTCCAATAGGCGGAACATTTTGAGGATAGAATATTAGTACTATAACATATCAAAGAGACTAATGACTGTTTAAAGGTTGAGCTTTCTTATCTCTTGTCAAATTACTACTAGCAAACAAGGTAGACTGATCTAGTCCACATATTTCATGTGCTGATTTGGACTAATTAGGTGAGTTATAATTTGACCTAGTCATGAATTTTCCAACTCAGGAAGGTGTGTGGAAATGGTCTGCTCCACAAACTGAATAGTTTTAAATAAACAGATATTGAGGAAAAGTCAGTCGAGAGTTGGAAAATATTGACAACATATATAGTACTAGATTACTATAGTGATTAGCATCAAACTAAAGAATGCAAGGAAGAGTTTTAGAAATGTCCATCTTACTTTTCTTGGTATTTTTCCCATTGCGTAGTTTAGGACACAGACTAGAGGGTTGTGAGGATTCTTCGTGCAAGAGTGATGGTCCCATCGTTCATTTCCCATTCAGACTCAGTCATCAACCAAAACATTGTGGCTATCCTGGCTTTGAACTACACTGTAACAATAAAAACGACACCATCCTTGAGCTTCCCTCCTCTGTTCACTTAGTTGTTGAAAAGATTGATTATGTCTCACAGCAAATTCACCTTTATGATCCTGACCAGTGCATAGCAACCAAGCTACCAAAACTGAATTTGTCACAATCTAATTTCAGAAATGCTGATGATCTCACAGTCCTATTCAATTGTTCTGAACCATTCACAGACAGTAATGATGGTTACTTGGTTCCATGTCTTGGTTCTTCTGGTTACCAAGTACATGCTGTTACTTCGACTTTAAGCCTCGACTTCTTATTGTCTGGGCCTTGCACAAAAATTCATCAGTACCCATACACAGAGTCAACATTTGGTGAGAACAAGCTGCAGCTGAATTGCCCTGTACCACTTTGTGGAAACTGTGAGTTCAAAGGAATGGATTGTGGTCTCAAGGATGGAACAAAGCTATCGGAAACTCATTGTTTCAATTGAAATATGACCCATAAAGGTACTACTTGTATGTCTTAATTATTTTCCATCATTGATAAAAAAGCACTTAACAGACACTTCAATTTTGTCCATAATAGGTAACACTAAGCAGCCCTTGATTGCAGGTTAGTCTTATTAAGTTCTTACTCCATCAGTTTCCTACTTGATTTTCCTTTGTGCTTATGACATGTTGTTTATTCAATTATTGTAGGTGTAGTTTTAGGTACAGCGCTTGTTTGCATTATTGTCTTCTCACTTTATCAGCTATATTTGACAAGTAGAAATGAAAGAGAGAGTCGAGTTAGACTTGATGTTTTATTTAAAAATATATGTAAAGGGAAAATGACTGAGTTTTTTGAAGAATCGATTAAACTTATGATTTAAGCAAATCGAATTTTCAAAAGAACAGAGTCGCCACTTAATTTTTAGTAAAAAAAATCAAGAAAAAATACTTACGGTTTTCAAAAGATTTAAACAGACAAAATCAATTGAAAACGGGTTCGAAGTTCAATATACATTCCGAGAAGGTGTTAGGCCCTCGGAATGCCCGCTAACTTGCGGTTGACCGACAATTTGACTTAAAAATGATTTGACTAATTTTAAAAATTTAACTAAGTAAAAGGATTCATAACAACTTTGACCAATTTTGAAAATTTGACTAAGTAAAGGACTCATTTATTATGACTTATTTTGAAATTCTAACTAAATAAGAGAACTTACTTATTTTAACTAATTTTGAAATTTTGACCAAGTAAAGGGACTATTTTATTTTAACTAATTTTTGAAATTTTAATTAAGTAAAAGAGCTCATTTATTTTAAGCTACTTATTGATTACTATTATTATTTTTTATCATTTTATTTATCTAAAGGGAAATGAACTAGAGGGAAATTTTCTAAGGGGAAATAATTTAAGCGTTGATAAGACTAATATTAAAATAAAAACTAAATAATAAAATATATATCTTTAATTCGAAAATAAATGAAATGACCATTCTTGGGGAATTTAATCAAATTAAATCATAAGATAATCGAAACGTTAGTCAAATATAACAAAATAAATAAGAGTAAGGAGAGGAATATCAAATTTGGGCCTTTGGCCCAAATTTTAAACTTGCTGAAATTCCCTTGGGCTTTTGGGCCCCATTCCTTTCAAGAAATCTGTGTATACGCTTTTGTGTATATCCCTGTATACGGGCCGTATTTTGGGTCCGTATTTTGCCTTTTTTTCTAAAATATTAGTTGTTGACCTATACGCCTGTATTTTTTGTATATTCCGGCCCGCAGCTTCGGTCTTCCACCTGTATATCACTGCGTTTTGACTGTATATCATTGTATACAGCAAATGCATCAACTCTTTTTCCAATTTTTCAGAACATGAAAACTCTTTTTCCATCTTCCGAACACCTGTAATCTTGTTTTTAGCCATGTGTAAGAAGCTCTTTGACCTGTATGTCACGTATACTGCTGTATACCAGCGTATACAAGCCTTTTTTTTTGGATTTTCCGGGACATATTTTCAATTTTCAAGCCACATAATGCCTACAACCTGTTCATTACTTCTTCTGATGGACAGCTGATTTGAACAACAAAATGGAGCCTTTATGGCTCGACTCGGAAATGCAAGGGAAAGAAATATGAAGTCCAAGATGAACTCGAGTTGGCATCGCATGTAACATAAACAAATAAAAATATGTAAGTAGCAATTTAATGATTTGATAGAGTATTGTAAAGAAAGAAAAATAAATAAAATGGGCCGAACTCATATATTACTATTCCTAGTTTTAAGTATTGTAGAAAAAAAAAGAAAAGATGAATAAAAGCAAATCACATAAGCTTTAAGTCAATGTAGAGTAGTTTAATGACCTCTCATGGTGAACGACTAAAGCAAGATTTGAATGAAAGGATAATTTCAGCAATAAACAAGAGAAGAAAACACATCTGAGACTTCTCAAAAATTAGAACAATTAAGCCATAACTAACTAATGACCACCTAATCTTGAAAGGGAATCAGAACTCATTCACACCCAAATTATGCTTAAAAGTGGGTATCATAAGAACAAATATCAGTACGCTAGGCAGTGGGAAACTAAACATCAAACAACAAAAAGGGAATGGAAGAATGAGGCAACCAAACACCATCAAAATCAAAAATGATTTAGATGCAAACATTAAAATCATTTTTCAGCATGCTTCAACGTAAAGAGAAATGAATAAAACTGTGCAAATAAAATCTAATAGGAATAGCATCAAAAGAAGAGGAAAACGGAGCAGACCAACACAAAATGGACGTTTGAGCAACTCGAAATGAACAAGCTCGTCTCCCTCACTTCAAACAAACCGAAACTAACACAAGTAGCCAGACATGAAGACTAACAAAGAATGAATAACCAACACGACACACAGTCAACATTATGAGAAATACATTGGCATAAGGGGACATTAGTAAGGGGAAAAGGAACTCGGGACAGACAGAAATAATCAAACTTTCAAAGGGAATGAAAACCAAACAACCACATTCGAGTAGCCAAACAAGTTCCACCACTGATTCGTAATCAACTCTAAATCGAAACGATATGAAAATCTCGACACTAAAAAGAAAAACTCTCAATGACCAAGAAGTAGACAGCCACTACATAAAAATAAAATAAGAGGGAGGAGCTAAAATAAGGTTTACCTTTCTATGTGCAGCGAATCGAGACAACGAGCCGACGATTAGGACTCTTCCACCACGAAATTCAAACACTAGTAGCGATTGGGAAATTTGGGCAGAATGTTAGACCCAAAATACTGAAATTAGTTCTTCTCCTCTGTTTTTTTTTTTTTTTTAGTGTACTATCTTTTCTTGAGTTGCTCTACGTATTTTGCTAAAAATAAAATTCCCAACTTTTTCTCGACTCCAAAATTTTCTAACTCCCCTGTTTTCTCTAGCAAATGTTTCTAATCAAAAATTTAAAACTCCAAAATCCCCCCCTACAAAATAATAGAAGTGATCATTATATAGGGAAAAATAGGGTCGATTTTTGGGGGGAATTCCGGTAGAAATTTGGGGTCAATCCCGAATTCAAAATTCAAATTCTTTCACCGATTTGGACAAGCACCTTTTCCTTGAGGTTTTGACTCATTCCGAAAGGGGAAAGGGGGGCAGGGCGCGTGCTAGCTGCTTGCTACGGTATTAAATGAGGATAGGGACGTCGGAGTTGGATGTTAACGTTGGGGGATTTTCTGGGTTTCTTCGCGTGAAGGAGACGCAGGGGTCGGGGGTGTTTTGCTATTGTTATGAGCAAGAATAAAGAAGAATGAAGTGGGGTCCCTTGGTACTGCACGTTGCTGGTGATGTTGTATGTATTAGTTTTGAATGTTATTGCATTGTATTGGTTGGGCTTGGGTTAAGGAATTATTGAAAGAATGGGCTGCTAATTGGAGGAAAATAGAATTGTTGAATAGGAGTTGGGCTAAATGAAAAGAGGGGTTGTTGGGTTGATTTGGGCTGCTGGAAAAGTGGCCCAAACTTTGGTCTTAAAATGGTTTTAAGGTGAGGTTAAAGATGGGTTAGATTTTGGAGTTTAAGAAATAGCCGAATCGAGTTAAATTAACAAATTCGGCTAAATCCTAAGTGAGATGGATTAACATTAATTAATTAACGAGCTTCTAAATCTTTAACGAAATAAAAATAATTAACTTTCTTATGAAATAATTAATTCGAATATATAAACTAATATCAAATGAGCTACATAACAAAACACTTAAAAAGTAAACTCTTTTTTAAATGGTTTTCTTTTTAATGTTCGTAAAATGTAATAATCATATACAAAACTATATAAAATATATATATATTGTTTTAAAATTGTAAAAATGACTAAGATTGCTTCAAAACTAAAAGAAATTTTTTTTTTTTGAATTAGTGTAAAACTAATTATTCCAAGTCATTGAAAATTAAGAAGCTTAAAAGTATTTTTGAGACAATTTTCGAATATTCATAAAAAACTAATTATATGCAAAATTACATAAAAGATATATTATTATTTAAAATTATAAAAAGTGACAAATTATTTAAAATAACTTGCAAACTATATATATATATATATATATTTTCGAAATTTCTAAAATTAATTATTTTAAATCGTTTGAAAATTAAGAAGTTCGGAAATTAATTTATATTGGGGAGGGTCAAAATTGGGTGTCAACACTTGAAAAGTTTTTGGATGACTACAAGGCCATCAGACCAACACGATATTCTTATGCTGATATTAAGAAGATAACAGATAATTTTAATGAAAAGTTAGGAGAAGGGAGTTATGGAACTGTATACAAAGGCAGACTTTCTAGTGAAATCTATGTTGCAGTAAAAGTCCTACGCGATTCCAAGGGTAAAGGGGAAGAATTTATCAATGAAATTGGTACAATTGGGAGAATCCACCATGTTAACGTGGTCCGCTTGGTTGGTTTTTGTGCTGATGGATTCAGACGAGCTCTGATCTACGAATACCTACCAAATGATTCACTTGAAAGGTTTATTTTACCAGTAAGCTCTGTCTCACTCGTCAGCTGGAACAAGCTTCAACATATTGCTCTGGGTACTGCAAGAGGGATTGAGTATCTTCACCAGGGATGTGATCAGCAAATCCTACATTTCGATATCAAACCACAAAACATCCTTTTAGACCATAACTTGAACCCCAAAATATGTGATTTCGGCCTAGCCAAACTGTGTTCTAAAGAAAAAAGTGTGGTCACTATGACCGCTGCTAGGGGAACCATTGGTTACATTGCACCAGAAGTGTTATCAAGAAACTTTGGTAAAGTTTCTCGTAAGTCTGATATTTATAGCTTTGGGATGCTCTTGTTAGAAATGGTTGGTGGGAGAATAAAGATGGATTCTAAGACGAATAATCACAGCAAAGTGAATTCTTTGGAATGGATATATAGACATTTGGAGAAAGGGGAAGAATTAAAGATTCGGATAGAGGAAGAAGGAGATGGTACAATTGTGAGAAAGTTAGCTATTGTTGGACTTTGGTGCATACAATGGCATCCCATTGATAGGCCTTCAATAAAAGAAGTTACTCAGATGCTAGAAGGAGATGGGAGCCATCTCAACTTGTCCCCAAATCCTTTTATGGCTACTAATATGCCTAAGTTAAATACAAGTCCTCTCAGTGAAGATCTAGACGTGATATTAGAAATTGAATAACACTAGAAAGTCATTTGTATAATGAAAAGGAGATAGTATAAGAATTGCAAAAGTATTTTGTTTCATAGTAGTGATCAGCAAGCTTAATGATAAATATGTAGACTTATTTCTCGATTTGTATGTATTAGATCCTGATGAGATGCACTTGTCCACCATGTACTAAGGGACCGGGTTGGTTTTACACTAAAACGCAGTAAAAGAGACTAAAGTATGAAATAAAACAACAAAGAGTTTTGCGTGGAAACCTCCTCGCTTAAGGGAGGAAAACCACGACCTGTCACACATGATTTCCAACTTCTTTTACTATCTTCAAGCAACAAGTGATTACAGACTCCAAACACATATTCAGAGATTAAACTCTTAATCTCACCACTCATAATAACTCTATCACAGAAAGAGCCAGGCAATACCTCTATTGCCTACTATATTAACTAAATGTAATTAATATACACTTCAATCACACTCTACACAGTCAACTCTAACCATGCTCATTGTTAGATTAAGTATTGAAGACACGATCCGTTCCTTTATAGATTAGAAACGTATCTTACAAGTTGAATCACACATGACACCACCTTTCTTATGCAACAATCAAAAGACACGGTTGATAACTCTATCATGTCCATTGAGGTTCTTGAATGCTTGTAATCTCCAAAGACAAAATACACCTTTTAAAATTGTTGTGCTAGCTTGAATGTCTTGACTAGGTTGTTTCATGTCAATGAGGATATATTATCCTCTGAACAAAACAACCTAGTGTTCTCCCATTGGTTGAGTACATTGTTCTCTTTTCCCGTGCTCACCAACTGCATCAGTATGACACTTTAACAGTTGTTCACCATTTTACTAGAAATACATGCTCAACTTTGGGACCAGGTTCCATGATTTGTGAGTATATCAATACACAGAGTTACAACAGATCCTTGCATTAAACCATGTTAATCGGATGTCCACAATGGGAAAGAAATGAGTTGAATGATAAATTGAGAAATAGTCCTTCTCTCAAACACACTCATCCAAAAGAAAAGTCGGTTATTTCCTCAAAGCTTTACCCAATATTATAGAGAAGACCAGTTTTTATAAAGGCAAATTTAGGATGTGAAGGGGGTGGATGCATAGTATTAAGTACACATGCAGTATGTGGCTCAGCTGGACACAATCTAATGAAGGAGCTTCCTTAGTTTTTCATAGGTAAGCTCTTATTCGATTAGCAAGTTGCATTATGTGGCTCAGCTGGACACAAATTAGCATACCCTTAATCTATATCGACTACATTCGGGAATCATTTGGTTAGGAACACAGGATGGAAAATAGTTTAAAGGAAAAAGGGTTTAATTTTTGTGCATTAGAGTGTAAAATTTTGCTTGTTTGTATGTATAATCTGGCATTAATTCTTCAATTACTCCCTAGTTAGACTTTTCCATGATTACTCCCTCTGCCCCAATTTATGTGACACATTTCGCTTTTCGAGAGTTAAACAGTTTAAGTTTGACTGAGAATTTGCTCATGAAACTTTCAAACTTTTTAAAATGAAATTTATATATTTGTAAACTACATTAAAAGTACTATAAGTCTCAATATTTGATAATTCAAAATATTTCAAAGATATATGAAATATTTACGGTTAAAGATAGACTTGTTTGAATCACGAAATTCGAAATGTGTCACATAAATTGGGACAGAGGGAGTACTTATTATCTCCAAATTCAACTCTTTTCGGACTGAGAGATAATTATTATTTTTGTTATCCTAAATATCTGAAATTTGTGGACTAGATAGATCAGTCTCTCAAGGCTAGCTTGTATACTAGATGGAAATGATGTGGAGAAGAAAATTATAGACCACAATAAATGATTGATAGCTCATTAGATAGGTAAACGCCAATGACTGAAATTGAAGGATAAGCCTTTGAAAATTAAGTATTCTCAACGTCTTTTAAAGGTTTTCGCATGCTCCTTAAGAAAAATATTCTCTTTGCATCGCAGAACCTAAATGTCACACTCACATAATGAAGCTCATTTCCCTGAGGCCTGTTTGGAAAGTCATCTTGCTAAATCGATTTGGTGTATTTAAGCATAATTATATTGTCTAACATGTTTGGTTGACCATGTAATTACTTGGTCAACAACTAATTTGATGTAATTGACAAGGAGTAATTATACTCTCCAATTCTCAGTGGATTGTGGTAAATTAAATGATATAATTACATATGGATCACTTTTTATTTTTATTTTTTTTGTTATAATTTATTTTTAGTTTTATCATTTTAAATTCTTTTTTATTTTATTATTTTAAATATATATTTTTTATTTTTTATTATTGATGTTTCATTTCCTTCTCATTATCAACCTAACATTTCCATCTCCTTCATAAATAAATAGGTAAATGTCAAAGTGTTTCTCTTGAGGGCCCTTGATCAAATTGCAACTTTCTCATCAACGACCAAACACAAGTCCTCCATTGACTTGAAGTTTCCAATTGTTGATGAAAATTCCACATAGCTTCAATTTAGCTAGCTAGTTTAATTGCATTTACTCATACATAATAATATGGAAGGGTGTGTTTGGTATATTAGAAAACGTTGAAGGTGTATTTGGTAGGGAGGAAAATATTTTCCAACTTTCTCATTTTTGGTTGACTTAAATGTTTTGAAAAATGTTTTTCAAATCAACTTATTTTCCTTAAATTTAAGGATATTGACTTCCCTTCAAAAATTAAGGAAAACATTTTCTAAAATTCTCCCACAACCTCAAATTACAATTTTTTTCTTACCCCATTCCGTACCCGACCTTTCCTATTAAAAAAAACAATTAAAATGTTAAAAATATTTTTTTAATAAAAATTAATTTATTTTGTCCCTAGCCTTGGCCCTCCCCCAGATCAGCCCCTCCCCCCAACCAAAAAAAATCAACAACTTAAAATTTAAATTTTTTGACTTTTTTTACCCCGTTCAACCCCTGACTATCTCCACCCCGCCCCAACAAAAATAAATTGTAAAAGTTTTTTTTGAAAAAAAATGTAAAATTTTCAAAATTTCATTTTCTTTAACCCACACCTACCCCAACCCCCTACCATCCCCCCTCCAAAAAATACTAATTTAAAGTTTGTTTTAAAAAATTATTTTCAATTTTCAACTTTTATTTTTTTACCCACCAAACATGAAAAAACAAGTTAGAAACTAGCTTGTTTTCCAATAAAACATTTTCTAGGAAAATATTTTCCTTCATATATCACATCATTCATCATATCATGATATCATCATCAATCCTCATCATATATATATTACTAAAAGTGGGAATAAAAAAGGTTGAAAGTTGAAATACCATTTTAACCCTACACTAAATTAAAATATTATAAATATTTAGTTAATTACATGTTGAAATTCCACCGTTAGTATAGTGTTTCACTAAAATATTATTTGTACTTATCTTTCTCTTATGTATTTGTTTTAAATAAATGTTTTCCTTCATAACTTATATCTAATTACCTATTCAATTGTCATTCTTAATATCCATAACTTTCATGTTTTTCATATTCATAACCTTCAAATATTTAATTTAAAACTTTAAGATGTCTTGTAGTATTCCTCTATTTTTATCTATATAAATTCATCTTTTTTATTTCATGAAGCTCACACCAAAGATTATCCTTTTTATTTTAAGGTTAAAGTAGTGAAGCCATCAACATCTAATAAAGTATAAGGTATATCTACCTTATAAGTTTGATTATATATTACTTTACGAAAATGAAATAATTTTTCTATTTGATTTGTGGTTTAGTTTGACTTGATGAAGAAGACTTTTGAATTTTGATTGGATATCAGAGAAGGCATGTCAATAAAAACTCTGAAAATTATGTACCGATTTTGTATTTCTTTTTCCATTTATGTATTATTATGATTAAAGTCTTAAAAAGAATGTGTATGTTATTTTTTTCTTCTATGTTTATTTTTTTTTCTATATTTTCTCTCTATTAGTCTTCTTTAATTTAGTTTTCTATAATAAAAATTATTGTCATAACATGTTCATTGAATTTTAATCTTTCTAATGAATTTATAAAATATTGCATGGGACACACATGTCCAGAAACTAGTATGTATATATATATACCAAACACACCCGAAGTCTCAATTCTTTTCTTCTCTTGGAAATAGTAGGAAAGAAAAGAATCAAGACAGTACAAATGTATTTGTGTAGGGGAACTATTCTGCTTAAATATTTTACATTAATCCTTGTAATCATCTTTCTGCAAACATGCAATGCTAGGAAGAGCAAACCCTACTACTGTCCTTCTTCTGCTTGTGGCCATATCCGTAACATAAGCTACCCTTTTCGCTTAAACACTGATCCAGAACATTGCGGATATGGTCTAGCATTTGAGTTAGCTTGTGAAAGTAACCAAACAGTCATATGGTTATTCTCCAAGAAATTTTACGTTCAAGCCATCAACTATAATAATCAGACAATTCACCTGGTAGATCCAACTTTACAAACACAAGATGATCTATGCTCTTTCAAACCTCAGCATATCTTGTTCAACAAAGCCAATACAATCTTCCACTCATACTATGTAGCAGATCCCATTTTCATGATCAACTGTCCATTTGCTGTTAATAATTATTCGACATTTGTGGAAATTATTGGCTGCAAATTAAGCAGACACACTTATTTAAAGATTGGAGTTATAGATGCCTCTGCACTCAGCGATGGATGCAGAGTGGAATTTATAGGCTGGACCTCATGGCCTAATATTATTTATACAGAGAACAACATTTCCCTTTCTGATTTTCATCAAGCCATCCTCTACGGATTTGAGCTTCGTTATTATCTGCGGAGTTCTCCACAACGGATAAGTAAGGTCTTCAATTACATATGCTCTGCTCCTTAATGAACATTCTTTTCCATCCTAACAAATTAGGAAAAGCAACGGATTCACTCACTACAATTTTATTTCTTCATGTCTTCGTAGGTTTTATTGAATATATTCTCGGTGAGGACTCAAAACTTTTCTCTACATGTACTTTTAATTCTCTATTCACTCACTATATAAGCTTCTTGATAAACATTTCTTTTCCATCCTATATACGTAAGGAATTAGGAAAACAATGGATTCACTCACTACAATTTAATTTCTTCATGCCTTTGTAGGTGTTCTTCAATGGATTCACTGTGAGAACTCAAACTTTTGTCTACATATACTTTTAATTCTCCATTGATATCTCATTCTAAATTTCTTGCACTTTAATCTAACCAGGGACCAGTCTAGTGCTACTTCAGCTTTTCTTGAGTAAGCTCCTATATATCCCTTTATTTGGCTGGACACAGATCAACATTCCATTGATCTTAATTTTTTGTGAAAAATATACACAGTTGAGGAGCCCAACACAAAAATTCTAAAATAGAATAATTCGAAATATATTACTGTTGGTAAAGTTATAAATAGCAATCTGAATTTGTGAAACTCAATATTTTTTTTTACATATATTCCTTTCCAAACATTCTAACTAATATTGGTAGTTTGGAAATGTTGGTTTAAAATAATGTCCACTTTTTATAAAGATGTTTAATTCATTACCGATTACATTGGTATATTGTTGTTGTTTAATTCATTACTCTATGTTTTGTTGACTTAATAGGAAGTTACTTTGTTATGACTTCTCAAATGTGCAGAGTACTATTTCGGAGCAAAATTTGTGATCTTCCTTCCGTTAGTAATTGTATTTCTGGTGATCAAATTCAAAAGAAGGCATTTGTCCATGTATGATACTATTGAAGGCTTTTTGCGAACACAATAATTTCATGCCAATCAGATATAATTACTCCCACGTAAAGAGAATGACTAGAGGGTACAAAGAGAAATTAGGTGAGGGAGGTTACGGCAGTGTATACAAAGGAAAGCTTCAAAGTGGAAGAGATGTAGCAGTGAAGATGCTGAACAAGCCTAAAGCTGGTTGTCAGGACTTCATGAATGAAGTAGCTACCATTGGAAGGATTCATCATGTCAATGTGGTTGGACTCGTTGGATATTGTGTTGAGGGAACAAAGCGTGCTCTTGTATACGACTTCATGCCCAATGGATCACTTGACAAGTATATCAGCACCAGTCAAGAAGGAAGTCCTCTGTTAAGTTGGCAGAGGAAGTATGACATTATTCTTGGAGTGGCTTGTGGAATTGGGTATTTGCATCGAGGCTGTGATGTACGGATTTTGCATTTTGACATCAAGCCACACAACATTCTTTTGGATGAGAATTTCATTCCAAAGATTTCTGACTTTGGGCTTGCAAAATTATATCCAACAGATAATAGCATTGTCAATCTCACAGCTGCTCGTGGAACGATTGGTTATGTAGCTCCAGAGTTGATCAGCAGAAGCATTGGAGCAATCTCTTACAAAGCTGATGTGTACAGCTTTGGAATGCTGCTAATGGAAATGCTAGGCTTGAATAGACATGAAGTTGCAAATGAAGAGAATTCCAGCCAATATTTTCCTTATTATATTTACGATAAGTTCAACAAGGGGAAGGAGATCCTGGTGGATGAAGAAGCAAATGATGGTGAAAAGAAGATGGCCAGAAAGCTGAGTTTAGTTGCATTATGGTGCATTCAAACGAATCCAATACAACGCCCTTCAATGAGTAGAGTATTAGAAATGCTTGAAGGTGAAGTTGAAGTGCTAGAAGTACCTCCTCAGCCTCTTCAATCTCAACCGATTGTTCATCAGATGATGGGAAGTTCTATGACATTTTCGTCCGATTCAATGGCTTTGTTAGAAAATTCTGCTAATAATTCCGTCAAAGTAGACATTTGTTCTAATTGATTATAGTTGTGTATTGTTCATTTAAAATGACATTTATGTGAGAAGGGCTTCACATTTTACCAAGGGTCGGGTCTAAATTGGCCCGTCTCATTCATTGCGTTCGCGCTGAACAAATACACATGGACATAATTAAAAGTCTATTTTCATGATTGCAAGCATGTTGTAACTCCTTTTGGTTCAAGTGTTCATTTATTTACTGTTGAAAGTGAAAATGTTGTAATAAATCAAAAGGAATATGCTAGCATAATCGGAAGTTTGAGACATATGACTGATTGTACTATACTTGATATTGCATATGCAGTAGGAGTACTTGGCAGGTTTACAAGCAAGCCAGGTAATGAACATTGGCATGCTATAACAAGAGTTATGAGATATTTAATTGGAACAAAAAAATGTGGTTTGTTCTATAAAAAATATTTTGATGTACTTGAAGGCATTTGTGATGCAGATTGGAAGACCCTATCAGGTGATTCCTATTCTACCACTGGTTATGTTTTTACTTTGGGTGGTGGTGCTATTTATTGGAGATCAAAAAAAGCAAACTATAATTGCTAACTCAGCCATGGAGGCTGAACTAATTGCTTTAGCTTCAGCTAACAAGGAAGCGAATTGGTTAAGAGATTTATTATTTAAAATACCTTATTTTGAAAAACCAATTCCTCCTATTTTAATTCGTTGTGATAGCACCGCTGCGATTGGTAGAGTTCAAAACCGTTATTACAACGGTAAATTCAGACCTATAAGGAGGAAACACAGTAATGTAAGATCGTATTTGACAAATGGTACCATTAATGTTGATTATGTCAAATCTTGTGATTAGGGGTGTACAAAACCGAATCGAAAACCGAACCAAACCGAGTCAAATCGAAAAAAAACCCGACTAGTGGTTTGGTTTGACTTGTTTTGGTATTGGAAAAAAAACTGTATTTGTTGGTTTGGTTTTAACTAAAAAAAACCAACCCGAGACCAAACAAACCCGACATTATATATGTAATTTTAAAATTTTATTTTATACATAAAAATATTTACTTTGATATAATTTAAAAATATTTCTTATACTATTTCATAGTTTTTATCTTTTAATATATTATTTCAAGTTTAAAACTTAGAATTCGGAATGGTCCAATAAAGATTATAGTTCATAGATGTTGATAATTATAATAAAACTTGAATCAAAATCAAATTAATACTAATGCAAAAAGAAAATAAATTCAACACTAAGAATGACAATAATATTGAATATTTGTTCTTTAGTTTTACATTGGTTTAGGCAATTAAAATACATAATCTAATTTTATTTTTCCTTAAATATTTAGTAATGTAACTAATACTTATTAAAATTATAATTTTAGCATGATTTAGTACTTTTAAATTATGATCATTTTCATTATGACTTTGCAATATTTATTTTATATGATGATTTCATTATTATTTTTTATTGAATATTTTTGTGTCATTGGTACTCATCTCATATTTTGTGTTATTTTTTTAAGAAACACCTTAGATAATTGTATTTTGGTTGGACTAAAGAAATATTTTGGAGCACAAGTTAATTATATGTTTGTATGCAAACTTTACCGAAAAATTCCAAAAATCTGGAAAAAAAATCCTAGGTTTATTATTTTGGTTTGATTTATAAATTAAAAAATTCGACACAATGGTTTGGTTTGGTATTTGAAAAACCTGAACCAACCCGAGGTTGAAAAATCCGAAAAAATCCTAATTTTATTAGTTTGGTTTGGTTTATAAATTTAAATTTTTTACACAAATGGTTTGGTTTGATCTTTGAAAACCCGAACCAACCCGGTCATGTACACCGCTACTTGTGATTATCTTAAAGATCCTCTTACTAAGGCCCTAACGAGAGAAAAGGTCTGGAGCACATCGAGGGGGATGGGATTGACGCCTATAAGTCCTTGAGTCATATATGAGGAAACCCAACCTGTGGACCAGAGATCCTATAACCAAGTTCAAAGGGAAAAACTAATCATATGATGACTTGTTGTGAAAATGCACTATCTTTTTATTCCCTTCCTATGATGTGAGTGCATTGTTTCCTGTAGTGATTTGTGAAGGTTGAGTTGATAAAACTCTTAATGAAAATATGTAGCCCATATGGGTGGAGTGTTAAACTTATAGGAGCACTCTCGACAGATATCACATATGTGAGTGTGGAAGTAGGTCGCTTATTATAAGAATTGGGCTTATTCTCAAAAGCACTCATGAAACCGGGTTAGCACAAGGCCATAACGTGCTGGTTTTAAAGCTCATGTCAACACCTTGATTATTATGTGTGGACAGTGATATTTTATTTCCCTTAAGCAGTCATAGTTCAAGTCTGAGACCACTACAACTCTGGAGTAAAAGTTATTATTTCACAAAGTGGAGATTCAATGCAGAGCATACCTTCATTATGCATAGTAATCTTCCTTCAGCTGATAGACTCTCTTAACTAATATTAATATGAGTGAAGGATTGTTAGTGTAGGGGCATTTTAATATTATAAGAATGTTGTATTTTAGCATTGACCGTTTGCCCCTAAGTTATTACTTCATCTATTCATTATTGTATTATAATATGCATTGGTTGACTTTCATTTGTTGTAGTATGGTGGGAGTTAATAGAAATCATTTTGCTGCCGTTTGGACCATTAAGTTGGTGCATTACTCCATAGAGTTATTGCATAAGTTACTATTTCCTTGGTGCAAACTGCAGCAGGTTCAAGCCGTTGGTGGCTTTTAGCCTTTTATCCCATTACTTCTTACTCTTTATTTCTCAATTATACCTTGTAACCTATGTAACTCCTAAGACCATTATCTTTACTATTTACTACACCATTATCTTCCTATTCATTATTAGGAAGACTTCTTCTAGTATAAATAGTGGTGGTCTTCATTTGGTTTAGACACAAGAAAAATATAGAGAGGAAAAAGTTAGTCAAAAAAGAGAGTTCTAATTAATTGAAGGGAAATATTCTTTTTGTGGAGCTTTGGACTCAACTCTTGTCCAGAGTTTGTTGAGTTATACTTTGTGAGAAGGTTGTTGTATCTTGGAGGGGACAAGTCAAGAAGGACTACTGCTGGACCGGTGAAAAACATTTGTTGCAGTGGGCTTGAATCTCCTTAAATAGAGCGAGATATATGTGCCTCTGCCTGAAGAGATTTTTATTTCTTTATTTTATTTTCAATTGTAATCTTGCAATTTTATTATCTTGTAATTTTTCACTAACACTTTTAATTTTCCATTCACTCACTATATAAGCTTCTTGATAAACATTTCTTTTGCATCCTATGAAATTAGGAAAACAATGGATTCACTCACTACAAGAGTTGGGAAGACAATTATTTGATGCTTAGGGAAAACAGAGAGGTTATGGAAACTTCGGAAAAAAAACAGAGAGTTTGATATATTATTGATATGTGAAGAAGAAGTTGAAACTAAGAAATTAAGAAAAGAAGAGAAAAGAGAAGAAGAACTAGAGGGAAAGAATGGGGAGACAAGGGAGAATGATATAGGGAATTAATGGTAAAATAAAAAGTTTAATACTATATTTGTAGCGGGTCGGGTTAAATGGGGCGGGTTATTAAATGGTTTAAATGGATATATATTTGGTTCTTAAAATTTTGGTTAAAAATTAAAATTCCATGTCAGCAAATTTTAATGAAAAAAATAATTAAATAGGTTGAGTGACTTTTTGTGCAAAGAAGTCATAGTTGAGTGACTTTTGAGTTGAAAATGAAAGTTGAGTGACTTTCTGTGAAAACAATTGATACTTGAGTGACCATCAAAGTTATTAACTCATTAAAGATGCAGAGAACAACATTTCCCTTTCTGATTTTCATCAAGCAATCCTCCACGGATTTGAGCTTCGTTATTATTTGTTCAGTTCTCGACCAAGTAAGGACTTCTTTCAATTATATATGCTCTGCTCCTTAATGAACATTCTTTTCCATCCGAACAAATTCGGAAAACAATGGATATATTCACTCACTACAATTTTATTTCTTCATGTCTTTGTAATTGTAGGGATTCTTCCAAAGATTGCCAGTGAGGACTCAAACTTCTCTATACATATACTTTTAATTCTCCATTGATTACTCATTCTAAATTTGCTAAAATTTATGCACTTTAATCTGACCAAGGACCAGTCTCTTGCAACTTCACGGCCTACTTGAGAATTTAATCTATAAGCTCCAATATTTTGGGATTTCTGGATAAAAAATAAGTAAGGACGGACTTCAATTATATTTGCTTTGCTTCTTAATTAACATTCTTTCCCAATCCTAAGAAATTCGGATTCACTCACTACAATTTAATTTCTTCATTTCTTTGTAGGTGTTACGTTTCTCTACATATACTTTTAGTTCTCCATTTATCTCTCATTCTATATTTGTTGCACTTTAATCTAACCAGGGACCAGTCTAAGGCAATTTCTGTATTTCATGAAAAAGCTCCTATATGATGGACAAATGATAAGTAAGGACAATCTTCAATTATATATGTTCTGCTCCTTAATTAACATTATTTTCCATCCTAACAAGTTAGGAAAAACAATGGATTCACTCACTGTAATTTAATTTCTATTTGTTTTTTAGGTATTATTGAACAGATTTTCGGTGAGGACTCAAACTTTTCTCTACATATACTTTTAATTCTCCATTAATATCTCATTCTAAATTTTTTTCACTTTAATCTAACCAGGGACCGGTCTGTCGCTACTTGTGTATTTCATGGGTAAGCTCCTATATATCCCTTTAGCAAGCTGTATGATTATTTGGCTGGACACAGATTAACATTCCATTTCGTGAAAATAATAATAATAATAATAATAATAATAATAATAATTATATTATTATTATTATTATTATTATTATTATTATTATTATTATTATTATTATTATTATTATTATGTTATATTATATTATATTTATTATGAAAAGTGGAAAATTCTAATGGATTACTCTTTTACCCCTATTCTTAATTTAAATATTATAAAAAATTTAATTAATTAAATATCAAAAGGTAATTATATCATATGTTATACTAATACTAGAAAACAAAAAAGTTGTAGTAAATACTACTCATAAAATTAATGAATCAGTTAACAGTAAGAGACAATATACATTAGAACAATATGTCATTAGTC